TCAGCTCTTCAGCTCAAGGCGAGTGCTCTACCACTTGAGCTACAGCGCCACTTCTGGTTTTCTGGTGGTTTATTGGAGATAGGAGTCTCAGGGTCTCTCCTACCCGGGGCTGGCTTTGAACCGCAATCCTCAGATCTCAGCCTCCTGAGTAGCTAGGATTACAGGCGTGAGCCACCAGCGCCCGGCTAAGCCCACAATTAATCATGAAAAAGGCAGAAGTGGAATGGTTGTACCACTTAAGCGGTACAGTGCTAGCCTTGAGCAAAAAGAGCTCAAGGACAGTTCAAGCCCCAGGACCCACCCACCTACCCTCACACCCACATGAAAGAAAAAAAAAAAGACAGGAAAGAAAACCCAAGAACACCAAACATTGTTATTTTGGAGCAGAAAATCTCACCCCAGTGGGAACCTGAATCCAGATACATAAAGCAAACACCCTGGAGACTACTAAATAGCCTGGCACCTAGGGCAGACTGCACTGTACCAACCACAGTCTGGAAAACATGAGACAGAGAGTGACAACAGATTAGCAGCCATAGCTCACACCTACCCACAGCTCGTATACACTGACGAGACCACAGTTCTACTGCCCAACTGTCCTCTCTTCCACAAGGAGGAAGGAATAAAATGGCCAACAGCAGGGGACATGAACCCTTTCCGAACCAAGGCTCATCGATCAGATTTGAAAGACCTAAGGTGGAAGTGGAGACGTGGGGTCTAGTGACGCACACGCAATCCTAGCAGGGGTGGAACTGTGAAGAAAAGCAGCTGAGCGCACCGGCTCAAGCCTCTAATCCTAGCTACTTGGGAACGTGGCTTGAGAAGTTTTCCCTAAACCGTCATTCCTAGCTACAGGGCAGCACAAGGGCTGGGCACAGTAGCAGGTACCTGTCAACACAGGACTGTGGTCTAGGTTGGCCCAAGCAAAAAGCAACATCTTATTGCAAAAAATGGGCTGGCAGAGCAGTAGAGCACCTGCCGAGCAAATGCAAGGGGCCAAGAAAACAACTTGCCAGAATCTACCACGTTTAATGTGGACCTACCCTGACCATCATTTAACTATGAGAAATGCATCCACCAATGTTTAATATGGACCTACCCCCTGACAATCACTTAACTATGAGAAATATATCCAACAGATACCTTTGCAGAATTGTGTAACACAAGCGAGGCAGTGGCTCACGCCTGCAATCCTAGCTACTCAGAAACTGAGATCTGAGGATCGCGGTTCAAAGCCAGCCTGGGGCAGGAAAGTTAATGAGACTCTTCACTCCAATGAACCACCAGAAAACCTGAAGTGGCCCTGTGGTAGGGCGCTCGCCTTGAGCAAGAGCTCAGGGACAGTGTCCAGACTCAAGGAAAAAAAAAAAAAAAAGAGCTGTATAACACAAATACAAAGGGCTGCTTACGAGAGGAAATAACAGACCTGACAACCACCTGCTGCCTGTCCCTCAGCTGGCTCATCCACATCCCGTGGTGGGAGTTTAAGGAAGGAGCGAGGGACCCCAGACAGGCCTGCCGGTGGCAGGTGAAGGGGGAACACCGACGCGGGGACAGAGGGCAGAGTGACTCGTCAACCACCGAGTGTTCTCAGACGCTCCTGACAGGCCCGGGGGCTCACCTGCTCTACGTGGGGCCCCTTGGCAAAGGAGATCCTGGAGATGGAGTGGGATGCGATGCACAGCTCCTGCCCGTTGACCTCACCCTCCTCCACCTCGACGATGCCTGAAAGGGAGGGCCAGTTAGCACTTCCAGACCGCCGCGCCCCCACGGCTCTGCTCTCCAGGGGTAGTCAGGAACTCAGTGGGAAATCTACACGTTGCAACATCCAGGTATAATATTTCTCTTTGTTTGTACTTTGCCTTCTAGATATCAAGAAGGAAAAGACTCATAACTGTTTTGTTTATGATGCTAGGCACATGCTCTGTCACTTAAGCCACACATCCAGTTCCTTTTTATTTTTCTTTTTGGTTGGTCGTGGGGCCTGAACTCTGGGCCTGGGCGCTGTCCCTCAGCTCTTCAGCTCAAGGCTAGCGCTCTACCACTTGAGCCACAACGCCACTTCTGGCTTTTTTCTTTTTTTTAATTTAATTTTATTTGTGAACATACTGTACAGAGGGGTTACAATTGCATGGGCAGGATAACGCGTACATTTCTAACCAAGCCCGGCTTTTTATGTGGTGCTGAGGAATCGAACCCAGGGCCTCATGCATGCAAGGCAAGCACTCTACCACTGAGCCACCTTCCCAGCCCTGGTCTGGAATTTGTGAACTTGAGCAAGCTTCCTGTCTCATCCTTCTGAGTAGCAGGGAACGCAGATGCAGGATACAGGTCTTTGCTTTTGCGTTTCTCTTCATGGACAGGTACTCTGTGCAGAGCCACTCCTGTGTAGGTGTCCTGGACCCCACACTCCCTCCCTAGAACTCCTCAAAGGGCTGGGCAGCCAGCCCTGGGAGCAGCTCCACCCCAGGCAGAGCCCAGCCTGCACCCTGGGCAAAGGGAAAAGGATGGACCTGGGTAGCCTCTTGGCTCCCTTCTGTCTTCTACCACACTAGCAGTGCCCTGGGCAGCTGCGTGTCAGGCTTGGTACATCCTCCACAGGAGCTGTCAAGGTCAAGGGCAAGGGCACGCAGGCTGTTTTTGAGTACTTTGTAAGTAATGAGCTTGGCTGATGTCCAGACAGACCCTGCAGGCAGGCTGGCTGCTCTCTGACCCCTGTCCCTTGAGCAGCATCTGCTGGGGAGGACGTTAGGAGGAGGTCAAGCTGCAGTTCACAGCCTCAAGGACACCATGCCTCCACTGTCCCCACAAACAGGCATCCAGGAGCAGGGACACACCCCAAGTCACCTGAGATGTGTGGCACCCTGAGCAGGCCTGGTTCCAGGCAGGCAGGCAGTACCTGTATTCTGAGCGCTGACAAAGGCCACCTTGTTGCTGTCGGGCTTGAGGCGGATGAAGCCACACTCTCTGTGCATCGGTTTGCGGGTGTCCGGGTGGAAGGAATTGAACCTGGATGGGGAGTCAAAGAGGTGAAGCAGACGGCTAACCCCACCGCAGAGCACCTGGCCTGCTGCTGTCCACCACCCTTGGAAGGAAGAGCAGCCCTGTGGCCACAGGACCACAGAGCTGTGAAACCTGATGCTGGGGCTAGTCCGCAGGCTCCCTTTTACTTCCTCCATCATTTTCTGGGCAGACCACTAGCAGAAGGGGTGTGTGTGCGAGGGGAGGGGAGCAGGGATCAAACCTAAGGCTTCCAGCACCTGTCACTGGACACTGACTGGTCAAGGCTCCTAGCCCCAAGAACTTAAAAAAAAAAGTGTTATGGTAGTACGGAGGCTCCAACTCAGGCCGTGTCTCAAGACAAAGATTAGAAATGTGGTGGGTCCTCAGGAGACTTGACATTGTCTTGAGAAGCACTGGCTCGGAGAGAACACTACAGTTTCCTTAGTACTCCTCAAGCTAGAATAGAAAGATTGACAGTAGTGCTAGCTGGATGGCTTGAGACCCAAGAAGCACCCAGGTTACACTGAGCTCAACAATGTTAAAACAAGTGAAGGGTAGAATGTGAAGAAGATTCAATTTTAGCATAGTTTTTAGAGAATTTGTGAAGGGCTCGAGCTGTTCAAAAATAACAACAACAAAAAAATCAGAGCCTTGTGCTTTGACTTCGCTTTTTGCTCTTGGCTCGAGCTCTACCACTTGAGAACAGTTCTACTTCTGACCTGTGAAGATACGAATCTCATAGACTTCTCTGCCCATGCTGGCTTCAAACCACGAGCCTCCTACGTAGCTAGGATGACCAGAGGGAGACACCAGCGCCCAGCAGGGAATCTGTTCTTAATGTGGTGGTGTATTCTCTCCCAGAATCCCTCTTGCATCTCATCCTGCATGGTTCCCAGTCCTAGGCACGTCATAAATACTGTGGACAATCCCAGCAAAACCTTCCTCTCGATTTATTCACATGGTAGAAAGAAAACAAGCATTGAATTAGGGTAAGATTCCTAATTAAGTTTGGTCATCGTTATAAATTCATGATGGTAAAGAAGAGAAACCTCTCTGAATGGAGGGCCTAAACCCATGGCCTGAGAAGGTACTCATCATCTACCAGCACGACGCTGGTTCTTGATCTGTCTTCAAGATAAGCCAGTCCCTCACGCCTGTAATCCTAGCTACTCAAGAGGCTGAGATCTGAGGATTGAGGTTCAAAGCCAGCCTGGGCAGGAAAGTCCATGAAACTCTTGTCTCCAATAAACCACCAGAAAAACCAGAAGTGGCGCTGTGGCTCAAGTAGTAGAGCCTTGAGCTGCAGAGCTGAGGGACAGCGCCCAGGCCCAGAGTTCAAGCCCCACGACAGAAGTCACAGCCTTCCAAGATGCTAGGATTACAGACATAAACACTGGCACATAGCTCTCAGCGTATTGTTAAGACAGGGACTTGCTAACTTTTGCCTATGCTGGCCTCAAATCATGACCCTCCTTTCTCCACCCCAAGTATCTGTCTCTTTAAAAGAGGTACTACTGGAGGCATGACTCAAATGGTAGAGTTCCAGCCTTGAGAAAAAAGCCAAGGTAAGAGCACAAAGCCCTGAGTTCAATCCTCGGTACTGGCACCAAAACAACACAACAGCAGCAAAAACAGGTACGGTGTAGTGTGTTACACAGAGAAGCCCTATCCCAAAATGATGATGATGACATCTGCCAGGCAGTAGTGGCTCATGCATGTAATCTTAGCTATTCAGCAGGCTGAGATCTGAACATTATGGTTTGTATTCAGCCCAGGCAGACAAATCTGAGAGACTACTGTTTTTCAAATAATCAGCAAAAAGCCAAAACTGGAATTGTGGCTCAAGTGGTAGATCACTAGTCATGAGTGAAAGAGCCGACCAAGAGTGTGAGGTCCGGAGCTCAGTCATCAGTGCTGTTTCCTCTCCCTCAACTGGCTCTGGGGTAAGTGTCCTCTTGTCTTCAGTGACACTACAGTGGCAAATTTCTGTACAGGAATATTGACCGAAATCAGGGATCCCATTAAGCATGTGTACTTGCTTATGTTTGGGTTAACAAGCCTCTAGTTTGTGGTCTACCTAACCTCTTAAAAAAATATAATGGAACCAGAAAGTACTATTTTTACTAAGCCTGTGCCTCAGGTGATCAAAAGCTGCTTGTGTGTGCCTCTCTCCGCCCGTTGGCTGGGCTGACTTTTGGACCCAGGCAGCCCGGGAGCAGGGTGACGACTTACGAGAAGTTGAGCATGGGCTGGCCTACATGGGAGATGTGCGCCTCCTCCAGGTACTGAAAAGGCTGCAGCGTCGGGAAGGTCCCGGCTCCCGGAGGGTCGGACAGCCAGGTGCCCAGCATCCACGACAGCGGCTCCACCACGGGGCTCATCTGGAGAGGCTCTGAAAACAAACGCGCGTCAGTGAGGGGGGCTCCTTCCAACTGCCGGCGGGAGCGCACCGCTCCTGGGGGACGCCTTCAGCAGACACACGTGGACACGGCCCTACGATCTGTCCTCAGAACCTCTGCTCCCACAGAAGGACGGGACGCAGAGGCCTGCGGAGTGAAGGGAGCGCGGAGGGCAGCTCCTGACCGAGTCGGGGGGAGAGTCACACGTGGCTGCGGGCCGCGGAGCAGGGGACCGCAGGGAAGGAGGCTCCCTTCCTGCAGGAGTCCAGGGGCTCAGCTCTCTCTCCTACGGGTAAGGGTGACAGCAGAGGCTGGAATGCTCAGGGACCAGCAAGCAGGAGACAAGAGCACTGGGCGGGGGGGGGGGGGCTGCTCTTCCAGGCCGCCCTGGGAGGAGGAGGGGCTGGACGGCTTCTGCAGTGGCTCTGCTCTCCCCGCACCCTCCTGGGTCCCTTGGAGCACCTGCTGCCAGGCTGACTCCCAGACACCCCAGCAAGCCCACCCAGCAAACCCAGGGGCAGAACCCCAAGGCTGAAAGTGGCTCTGAGGAGAAGCACGGGTGGAGATCCCTCCCTAGACCGCACACATGCGCTGAGGACCAGGACCCAGAGGCCCTGATGTGACACTGAGGCCGGTCCCCTGAAGATGGTGACCAGGACAAGGCTCAGCCTCTGACATCCTTAGACTACACACACAGTGTTGAGAAGTGGGACGCTGGGGAGGAAGGAGGTCCCGGAACAGGTGGCACACACAAGCACCCTGGCTCAGGGGTGGAGCCGGGGCACAGAGCAAGCATGGAAGTGGGTGGAGAGCACCAAGCAGGCACAGGGCAAATCCGTCAGCCTGCAGTGGGCTGGGGAAGCCAGGCCCTGCTCCAGACCTCCCGAACTGGGATCAAGCTTCCTAATTACATACCGGAGAAGTTCACAATCATCACAACCCTTGAAGGAAGAACTGGGTGCAGAACCTCCAGGTGCTATTGCCGGAGGCCCCTCACTCATCCTATTCTACGCACCAGACGCTCCTGGAAGAGAGGTGTGAGAGCTGGCCCACAGAACGCTCCACCAGGCCTCCCGGAGACGCTAGTGAGGACGGCTGTACAATGACAGGGCACACTGGGAGGGGAGCTGCTGGGGAGTCAGAGAGGGATGGCAAACACACTGGTGGGCAAGGAGGCTGGCCTAGGCCTGAGGGCAGCGGCAGCGCAATGGGAGGACCAGCTTCTGACAGGATTTGCTGACGCTTAGACAGAGGAGAGAGGCTTTGGGTCTGAGCAGCCAAGAGGACCAAGAGCTCTGGGAGGAGGCCTCAGCCTCAACTCACCGATCTAAAACAGCAACTCCAGGATACAGAGACATCATTTTTCTCACACCAAGATGGAGGACTTTAGAGAATGTTCCGGTTTGACTTTATCAGGTTTAGAAGTGAAAGGCCTCTCTTGAGCCCTCTGGCCTGCGAGTGTGCGCGCATCCCCAGGCAGCAGGGTGACCGCTGTACTGCCTGCTCCGCCTGCACACAGGTTGGACTTCCAGCGACACCGAACCCAGCCACGATGCTAATGCCCTGCACCGGGGAAGCCCCAAGCTCCGCCGGGTGGTCTCACCAGCTGGGCGCTGGCCCTCGGCCAAAGTGTGGGGCTGGCACAAGCCCAGCCAGCTCACACACTGGGCTTGGCTTGCTGGTAATCTAGAGCCTCCCCCCCAACAGCGACTGCAACTGTAACCCCAACACGCACATGCACACACTCTCCAGCGCAGGCACCACTCCCTGGGGACATGAGTGGGGCAGGGAGGACAGCCTGAGTCCCGGAGGGCCTCGTGGGACCCCAGAGGGGCAGGCTGAAGTCCTGCATGTTGCTCGAAAGATGCTCGTCCTGGGGCTGGGAAGGTGGCTCAGTGGTAGAGCATCAGCCTTGAGCTGAAGAGCTGAGGGACAGCGCCCGGGCCCAGAGCTGAGGGACAGCGCCCGGGCCCAGAGCTGAGGGACAGCGCCCGGGCCCAGAGTTGAGGCCCCACAACTGACAAAATAATGAAAGAAATGCGCATCCTTTCTTACAAAGCCCCCCTCATCCCCTGGAGGCTGCTGTCCTTAAAGCTCCCAAGAATGCAGCACACCTGCCAGTGACGCTCCTGCAGCACTCTCGTCCCCCGTTACCAGGCCAGAGGGGACGAGCCCTGTCTGCCCCTAGGGTGGAAGGCTTGCAGAGCAGGCAGGCAGAAAGGGTCTGCGTGCTCTTAGGAGGCAGAGCTAGGACCGGACCTGACCACAAGGACCTTGTGCCCCGATCCCAGACCTACAGCTCACTAAGGGGAGATGCCACCAGATGCAGTAGTGGTAACAGGTGTGCTCCAGGCCAGTGCCCAGGCCTGCCCTCCTTCCTCACGTTCCCACATCTCTACCCCTCCTGTATGGTCACACTCAGCTTCTACCTTCCAGGGTCCTCTCCTCTGTGTATTCATTGCTAGGTGACAGCTTCTACCTTCCAGAACTAGCCTGGTCCTCTCTGAGACACTGACTGCTATCCCCACCCCCAGCCACCGTGTCCGACTGGGGAGACCTGTCCTCCTCTCGCTGGTGCTGAGGGGTCTTAAGGGAAATGTCCTCAAATGTTGAGGGTCAGAGACAAGGAGAGACAGGTCAGAGATGGGAAAAGGTAACCACAAACAAGAATAAGGACAGTAAGGGGCTGGGAAGGTGGCTCAGGGGTAGAGCGCTTGCCTTGCATGCCTGAGGCCCTGGGTTCCATTCCTCAGCATCACATAAGCAAAAAGAAAAAAGCCGGAAGTGGCGCTGTGGCTCAAGTGGTAGAGCGCTAGCCTTGAGCTGAAGAACTGAGGGACAGCGCCAAATGCTGGCTGAAGGCATGACCCTGAATTCAAGCTATGGTACTGGCCAAAAAAAAAAGGAATGAAGAGTATGCTAAAACCTGAGTGACCTTTAAAAACATTGCACTCTGCCAAGACAGGGCAGCGGAAGTCCCTCCACACTGACAGGGCAGGTCAGAGAATGTAGCATGGTAGCCAGGCCCTCGTGTGCCACACACAGGCCACACAATGCAAGTGTGGCGGCCCAGGACAGGCTGTCAGTGGAAGATGTACGTTGGCTTCTCAAAGTCTAGAAAAAGAATTCCAAGTTTTTTATTCCAAACTTTCAATTATCTTGAAAATTCTAAATGAGTGGTTGTCACGTGTTGACTTGATAATGCTTTAACACTAAGAGTTAGATAAAACGTATCTTTAAAAGTAGTTTCATGGAAGGGTGCTGTGGCTCAATGAAGTAGAGCACTAGCCTTGCACAAAAGATCTCAGAGACAGCGCTCAGGACCTGAGTTCAAGTCCCAAGACTGTCACGCTCAGATTGTCTTTTGCAAGGTGGCACTGGGCCAGCACCCCCATAGTCAGCACTGCAGAGTGAGTACTGTCTGCTCCACATGAGGGGGCTGGCAATCCAGGGCCTGTTGCGGCAGACCTTTTAGTATTTCATAAAATACTCACTTTTGGGGCAGAAGAGCCACTTCCTGAAGACTTGGTCGCATTAAAGGCTCTGTGGTGGGAACCCACACAGCCCGTCCACCTGGCCTGTCGGAGCTGTCACCGCCCTGCCGGGCGTGGCAGCCACAGCTGCTCTACACCCACAGCACATCCTGCCTTCCTCCACCTGCTTCCTCCTCAGGCTTCACATCTGACCGATGGCTGCTGAGCTGGAGGGAAATGGTTCGCTCAGAGCACAGCTAGGGGCTGAAGCTGGACCACTGCCCCCGGCTGGCTTGGGGAGGTGCTAGATGGCGGAGGGGCTAAGCCGGAGGTCGTAGGCCAGCAGGCATTCCTCTGGGGGACGTGATCTTGCCCCTTCTCTCTCTCTCTCTGAGATGAGGTGAACAATCTTCTCCATCATGTGCTCCTGCTGCCATGATGTTCTGCTCACACGCACATGGCCACGACACCACAGAATGAAACCCTCAATGAATTTTCCCCCTCTAAGGTCTTCATTGGTCGTTTGGTCACAATGGGCAGTAAAAGTAACTAACAGGCAAGCTTCATGCGAGCCAGGAAGGACTGACCGGCTGACCAAAGTATTCAGTTACCAGCACAATGGAGAGCAAAGGGACCAAACAATAAAACCGCCATAAAATATTGGTGAGAACTTGCTGTAGTGGGTGGTGAGAGAGCAAGGCCTGGGCTTCCGAGAGGGCTGGCCAGGCCTAACTGAACATCCAGAGAAGGTGGGACAGTGCCTTCCCTCAACTCTAGGCCAAGATGTTCAAGAGTAGGAACTCAGACGAGATGCCAAGAGGGTGGAAAGGAGGCAGGTGGGGAGACCTACGGAAAGTCATGCTCCAGGGGCATCCTGTGCTCAGGTGACAGGCAGGTGGAGAAAGGTGGAGCACTTGGACAGGGTGGGCTGGGGTGCAGAAGAAGCCGTGCCCAGGGGTCTGAGTCAGGCCACCAGGCCTACCAACTGCCTGGCACCCAGCCATTCCTCTGGGTGCGTGGGTAGGGGCACAGGCAGGGCCTGGCTGTGCAGGGCCCTCGGGGCGTGAGGCTAGGCTGTGGTCGGCCCCTTCCATGCTCAGCAACCAAGTGGGGCCACAGCTGAGGGAGCCTTGCTCAGCAGGAGCCGCAGGAGGGAGGGAATGAGGACTGGAGAAAGGGGCTGGGGACTGGAGGTCTGCGGTGTGACAGGATCACACAGGCGAGGGCCACGGTGGTCAGAGAGCCCAGTGTCCAGGCTGCGGCAGGCCTGCGACGCACCGTGGTCCCGAGCGCTGCTGAGGCAGAGAGCAGCCTCAGGCCTGCATGGGCCGCCAAGGACACCTAGCAGAGGAGCAGGCAGGGAGAGACTGCAGCCTTCTGTGCTCACCAATCCTGGCCGGAAGCCATTCATCCAGCGGTGCTTGTTGGATTGTGACTAATTAAACTTGTTCTATTAACTGTGGATCAGTGTGACATGGGGAACGCACATGAGGCCTTGGCAGGCCATCCACACAGGGCTCGTGAGCCTGGGCACGCGGTTCCCACGTGGCCGGGCAGGTCCCACAGACAGGGACCACAGCACGCAGCACTTGGAAATGCAAGGTATGCTATGATGACTCCAAAGACACATGCCAGGGTGGAAGATGCGGCGGGACTGGAAGTGAAGGGAGGGCTGCCGTGTCCATACGCCAGCTGGTGAGGGCACTCACGGCCAGCTACCAGCCAAAGATCTGGCTAGGCAGTAGAATATCAAACTGCTCTGAGATACACCTCAAGCTGTATTAAGTCTTCCTAGCTTGCTGTTGCTAATGCATTTTAATTTGGCCAAGAAAGCAGACTGGGCGTAATCAGAGCTTCTTCTCAGCCGCACTGGCCCCTGGTCCTGCTTTGGGTCAGGCAGGCTGTCCTGGGGCTGGCTCCTCAGCCCCACCCCACCTGGTAACGGCCAGTGCTTCAGCCCCACCCCACCTGGTAACGGCCAGTGCTTCAGCCAGTCTCCTTGCTTCCACTGAAGCATTAGATAGTGGGTAAGGATGACTAATAAATTATTATAGAACCCAAACATCGAGTTAAAGAGTGGATGTGTGATGAAATTCATCAAACTGTATCCTCAAGAATTGTATATTGCCAGGTGCCGGTGGTTCATTCACACCTGTAATTCTATCTACTCAGGAGGCTGAAATCTTAGAGTCGCAGTTCAACACCAGCAGGAAAATCTGTGACTCTCATCCCCAATTAACCACCAAAAAGCTGGCAGTGGAGCTGTGGAAGAGAGCTAGCCTTGCGCAGAAAAGCTCAGGGATAGCGTCCAGACCCAGGATCAGTTAAAAAAAAAAAAAAAGTACATTTTGCCCTATGTAAATTAGGCTTCATTAAAACAAAATGTTAAATAACTCTGATCATATAAAATAGTATGTATCAAAATGAACTCCAGGACATGGAAATAAGAGGCTTTCTGTTATTTTTGTTTTCTTTTTGCCTTGTTTGTTCATGTATTTGTCTTTGGGAGGGGATGGGAGGCACAAAAATGGAGGGACAGAAGGTGAAGAAATGCAGCAGTGGTACTCACTAGACACTATGTGGAAAATGAACTGTGTAACTTGTGGATGGGGAGGGGAGGGAAAAACTGGGAGAACGAAGGAAGGGGTGACACTGTCCAAAAAGATATGTACTCATTACCTGAGCTATGAAACTTCTCTGCACATAACAGTAGAAAAATCAAACACAAAAGAAGACAAGAAGAGCGGAGCATGCCTATAATCCCAGCACTAGGGAAGCTGAGGCAGAGGACTGGAGCTCAGGTTACCCTGGGTTACAGAGCAAAACTTTGTTTAAGAAAAAGGAGACAGAGGGGCTGGGAAGGTGGCTCAGTGGTAGAGCGCTTGCCTTGCATGCCTGAGGCCCTGGGTTCGATTCCTCAGCACCACATAAGCAGAAAAAGCTGGAAGTGGTGCTGTGGCTCAAGTGGTAGAGCACTAGCCTTGAGCTGAAGACCTGAGAGACAGCGCCCAGGCCCAGATTTCAGGCCCCACAACCAACAACAACAACAACAAAAGAGACAGAAAAGAAAAGGAAAAAAGAAAGAAAAGTTTAAGGATCTAGCCTATTTGCAACTTTTAATCTCCTTAAAAATAAATCAGATAGGTTTCATTTTCCTTTTATTATCTCAAACAAATTGCAAAAATAAAAATTTAAACTGTCTACAAATAAAATTTAAATTTCCACTTCTGTCCCTAGACATTGAAAGCAGGCTTACCCATCCCTACGCTGTCTGAACTCCAGGAAGACACACGGTCACGGTTCCTCAAGGTCGTTTTCTGCCATGACGGGAAATGTTTGCACCTGGCTGTTAATGTGCTTCAGGAAGTGAATGCCAAATCTTAAGAGAGCATTCTGGGAAATGTAGTCCACTATCAAAGATCATGTCCCACAAGAAAGTAGAAGACAAGGATCTCAGGTCCTGGAGATCATAGAATTTTAGGGCTGAAAGAGCTGCATTTTATCCATGAGAGATGAGCCCAGGAGCTTAAAAGTCCTGTGTAGAGTGAGGAGCAAGCCTTCCTGCTTGCTATGTCCACTGAATAGGAAAGCAAAGAACCAACTCATTAGATGAGGAAAACACATTGACCCAGGAACATAGCAGAAGCTAAAATAGACATTCCAAGGGCTTCTGAAGTGTAGTTTCTTGTCTTCAAGTCAGCTGGCCTGGCTGGAAGAGTAGATCAAGTGGTAGAGCACCTGTCTAGCAAGCACAGCTCCCTGAGTTCAAACACAGTATTGCCATTAAAAAAAAAGAGAATAAGCAGGCTTCCCTCTACCTTGGCTTAGGGTTAAATATAGAAGTCTGGGCTGTTACATCAGAATAACGGGGTGGGTGAGCTTCCAGGTCCAATTTCCATAGTAAAAGGCATGCAAGTCATAGTCTCATCTTACACTAAGAAAAACACAGAAACAAAGAGGGAAATGAGGCCAGCGGGGGAGGGGGGGGCTCTCCCAAAACAGAAGCACAGCCAGGGTCGGTGTAGTTGGGGTGCCTCCAATGAATGCAGGAAGCTGAAAAGCAAGACCAAATCTGGGACTGCAGTCCTGGGGCCCCACATTTTCAGGGGTTTTGGAAGGCCACCAAATCCACACCTTAAGAAGCTGGGGCAGCAGGCTATCCTGAAATCAGCATGAAGCTTTCTCTGGAGCCAGGCTGCTCCACAGTGACACATCTCACCGGGGAAAGGGCATGTTTGCACCCAGCTCCGACCCTTCCTGTGACCCCCAAGGAGACAAGCTACACTTGTAAAGGCCACAGCGCAGAGCCACAGGCCATTGCAGGGCTGAGTACAGATCGCTGTTCCTCCCTGCACCCCAGCTGACAGGGCTCCTGCCCAGGAGTGGCTCACAGCACCGAGGGCCAGGGGCACTTACTAGAGGTTCCCAGAGGACTAGAACAGAGGAGCTCGAAGCCCTCGGCACCTATGGCCACTCAGTTCACGGTGCTACTTCATACCAATTTACCTCCCTTTCTGCCATCTAGTGCTCACCGTTAGACATTACAGGAGACTGCCCTGGCTAGGCTCCTGCAAGGGCCCTCAGACCTGGCTAAAAACCAAAATGGAGCTGGACATGGGGGCTCATAATTGTAATCTCAGAACTCAGGAGGCTGAACTCAAGGCAGCAAAAGCCCATAGAGAGCTTGGGGGCATCTCCATTGTAGAAAGCTTGCCAGCCTGAGAGGTAAGGAAGAAATACTTCAGGTAAAAGCTGAGGGAATTTGACCCAGCCAGCCCAGGTCCAGCCCACAGTCTGCCTGCCAGTGTCCTCCTGGGAGCCTGAATCAGGCCCTCAGCCTTTTACTCAGGATGAGTGATAAACCAGACATGTCTGAGGGGAGAGGTTTGACTGATCATTGAAGAGACCTAATACTGAAGAAAAAACACTCTTTCCTCAAAGTAAATTATCCAGCAGAGGTGTGTGTCCAAACACCCTAAAATGGGGGTGTCCTGGCAAAACCAAGCGTCCGCACCAGGAGGCTTGTTTCTATAGACCTATGTGTAGCGATTTCAGGCACCTGCAGATGGTTTCCCCACTGTTTCCTGAGAGGTCAACAGTAGTCAAGTTAAATTTGTTTTTGTTTTTTTTTGCCAGTCATGGACCTGAACTCTGGGCCTAGGCGCTGTCCCTCAGCTCTTCAGCTCAAGGCGAGCACTCTACTGCTTGAGCCGCAGCACCACTTCCGGCTTTTTCTGTTTATGTGGTGCTAAGGAATGGAACCCAGGGCCTCAGGCATGCAAGGCAAGCACTCTATACCACTGAGCCACCTTCCCAACCCTTAAATTTGTTTTTAAACTGAACTTCCAGACAGCAGATGCACATCACAGTAATTTCACCATTGATGACCCTTGTGTGTAACAGAGCAAGACAGCTTTAACCTAATGAATGCCTGCATTGCTTTATTATCATTAAAAAGCTGAATGCAAGGGCTGGGAAGGTGGCTCAGTGGTAGAGCGCTTGCCTTGCATGCCAGAGGCCCTGGGTTTGATTCCTCAGCACCACATAAGCAAAAAGCAAAAAACCGGAAGTGGCACTGTGGCTCAAGTGGTAGAGTGCTAGCCTTGAGCTGAAGAGCTGAGGGACAGCGCCCAGACCCAGAGTTCAGACCCCACGACCGGACCCAAAACAAAACAAAACAAAACAAAAAACCCAAATTTAGCCGGGCGCTGGTGGCTCACGCCTGTAATCCTAGCTACTCAGGAGGCTGAGATCTGAGGATCTTGGTTCAAAGCCAGCCCGGGCAGGAGAGACTGTGAGACTCCTATCTCCAATAAAACACCAGAAAACCGGAAGTGGCGCTGTAGCTCACGTGGTAGAGCACTGGCCTTGAGCTGAAGAGCTGAGAGACAGCGCCCAGGCCCAGAGTTCAAGCCCCACGGACAACCAAAAAAAAAAAAAAAAAGCTGAATGCTTTTGCAAAACAAACAAACAAAAAACAACAAAAACCTGAGGGAATTTATTCCCTGCAAGAAATATGGAAAGATTTTCTGGAGAAGGTGTATGATACACTCCAGGAAAAAAACACGAAATCAAGAAAGGAAGAGCACCATTAAAGGAATAAGATAGCATTGAGGCCTCAACATAGTGTATGTTCTTCTTATTCTTGAGCTTTTGTGCTCAAGGCTAGCACTTTACCACCTGAGCTCCACTTCTAGCTTATTTTTTTATTTTTATTTTTTATGGTCAATTGGAGATAAGAGTCTCACAGACTTTCCTGCCCTGTCTGACTTCAAACCTTGATCCTCAGATCTTAGCCTCCTCAGTAGCTAGGATTACAGGTAGGTGTAAGCCACTAGCACCCAGCGCTTATTCTTATAATAACATAATGGCTGACAGCAGCTATTCCATAAAGAACGGGAGGGACTGTCAGGAAGGACAGAGGAGAGGCGTGGGGCTGCTGAAGGTGGACCTGACTAGCTCTGAATGTGCAGTGCCAGCTCTAGGACAAATCACTAAAAAGTTCTTTTGTTTTTTGGCCTGACTCTGGGCGCTGTCCCTCAGCTCTTCAGCTCAAGGCTAGCACTCTACACTTGAGCCACAGCGCCACTTCTTGCTTTTTTTCCCTGCTTATGTGGTGCTGAGGAATTGAACCCAGGGCCTCATGCATGCTAGGCAAATACTCTACCACTGAGCCACCTTCCCAGCCCTAAAAAGTTTTAAAAAGAAGTATTATTGATAAGTTAAGGAGTAGTGAGAAAATAAAACCATGTAAAATGCTGTTAAAAAAAAGAGAAGGAGGACTGGGAAGGTGGCTTAGTGGTAGAGTGCTTGCCTAGCATTCATGAAGCCCTGGAGGGCTGGGAAGGTGGCTCAGTGGTAGAGCGCTTGCCTTGCATGCATGAGGCCCTGGGTTCGATTCCTCAGCACCACATAAGCAAAAAGAAAAAAGCCGGAAGTGGTGCTGTGGCTCAAGTGGTAGAGCGCTAGCCTTGAGCAAAAAAGCTCAGTGACAGTGCCCAGGCCCTGAGTTCAAGCCCCAGGATTGGCAAGAGAGAGAGAGAGAGAGAGAGAGAGAGAGAGAGAGAGAAGGGCTGGGCACTGGTGACTCATGCCTGTAATTCTAGCTACTCAGGTTGCTAGGATCTGAGGAGTGTGGTTTGAAACCAGCCTGGAGAACAAAGTCTGAGACTGATATCTCTGAGACACATATCTCTGATTAACCACCAAAAAGCTGCAGGTGAAATTGTGGTTTAAGTGGTAGAGAGCTAGATAAAAGTCAAAGGACTTAGTGAATGGCATAACTCCACAAAACTAATGAACTGTTTAACAAAATTAACACCAACAAGCAGAAATGGGGGGGTGATGTGGGGGTGCCACAGGAATGGAGAGAGGAAAAGTGAGCAAATGTAGTCACTATGTTTGATGTATAGGGAGGGATAGGGTGGGGAACACTGGGGTAGACTGATGGAGGAGGCGCACTGATCAGGAGGCGCTGGATTCAGAACCTGAGTTACTGAACTGTAGACTCTTTGTACAACTACTTAACTTAGAAAAACAAAAAAGCTAAAAAGCTAAGGGATATCACCTAGGTCCTGTGTTCAAGCTCCAGTAGTGGCAGAAGAAAAAAAAAAAGACAAAGGAAAAACTAGGGAAGAAAACAAAAGAAGCAAATAGAAAGCAGTTACAATCATGGCCAGTATTAATATAACAATTTCAATAATCACTTTAAATGAGAATGGTCTAAGTATCCCAATTAAAACTGTCAGAGGATATTTAAAATAAGATGACCCAAGGGAGGGGTGGGGAGGATGGGAAAGGATGGGAAGGGGAAAGAAAGGAGGAGGCTACAATGCTTGATAAGAAATGTGCTCATTATCTTGCCCATGTAAATGTAACCCCTCTGTACAGTATTTTCACAATAAAAAATATAAAAAAAAGATGACCCAATTTTATGTTGTTTATGAGAAACCAACTTTAAACATACATATGGATTAAAGTAAAGAGAAAATTGGGTACAGCGACACTTGTGAATCTAATACTTGAGAAGCTAAGGCAGAAGGGTTAAAAGTTTGAAAGAGGGGCTGGGAAGGTGGCTCAGTGGTAGAGCGCTTGCCTCACATGCATGAGGCCCTGGGTTTGATTACTCAGCACCACATAAGCAGAAAAAGCTGGAAGTGGCGCTGTGGCTCAAGTGGTAGCGTGCTAGCCTTGAGCTGAAGAGCTGAGGGACAGAGCCCAGGCCCAGAGTTCAGGCTCCACAACTGACCCCAACAACAACAACAAAAACCTCCTAGAGACACTGAGCATTGGTGGCTCATGCTTATAATCCTAGCTACTCAGGAGGCTGAGACCTGAGGATT